AAAGTGATGAGTTAAGAAGTGAAATGGCTTGGAAAATTGTGAAAAATATCTTGATTCCCTAAGGGGATGTCCACGACCTTTTAAAGAAAATGACATGATTTATGTTGAAAATTCTCAAGTGAACACTTGATTAAATTAAAGAACGCGAACGATTATAAAGGGGTCTAGACTTGTGTATTGGCATAGGATTGGCAAAAATGTAAAGAAACGCAAATAAGTGCTAAAATGTATGCCTTATGAAAATCTAGGCATGATAGCATTTTATTGATGTGTATTTTGGATTCTTTCTCTAGGTGTGCCTAGGGACTGAAAAGGGTTTGGATCCTGTTGAAGCGGTATAAGTAACTTGTGCCACAAGTAAGCGAAATTGAAAAGCTTCAAGAGGTAAGCTCTATGTTTAAGGAGTCTTTTCCTGCTTGAGTGCTCCACTATGGTTAATGAACTATTGTTGGACTTTATGACTGTTGTTTTGATACTTTGTATAGATGCATTCATATAGAGTTATTTGATAACATGATATGACTTGTTCCGATATGATTTCTGTATTGACATATGGTACACTGATGTCTTCTTGGGGTTTCCCTGAGATTGACGATTTACACCTTTCATATGCTCTGGTTTCGCTTGGGGTCCTGCCTTGGGAACACGTGCGTTGATTTTCGCTCGGGGTCCTCCCTTGGGAATGACGGCACACGCCTCTGATATGATATGAATACATGTTTTGTTCTGTTATGATATCTATTATATGTGCCTTGTAAACTCTGTATCTTACTTTCATGCATGAGTGAGCCAGGGGTATGAAGAATTCTCTATAAACCTGGAGCTTATTGAGATTTGTTATCTCACCCCTCTTTGGGGACATCATTTTAGGTGCCCAGATTCCCGGTGAGTCCTCACTTGGCAGGGACGTGACTCGTGGTTGAGATGTTGGGACGGATCAGTTTTGAGTAGCTGTAGGCTACTAACCTTTTGGAGTGTATTTATATTATTTAGTATTACCGCATTTGATGGATCATGATGTTGGATTCTTTATTTTGTATATGGCATGTATATGTCTTGTACATGTCCTTCAGTTTGATGCATGCACATTTGTGTATTCAGGCATGTTGATATGACTATGTAGTATTCAGTTATGCTTATGTATTGGATTGCATGCTGTTAGATTAGTGGCACGGAGCCAAGCTATGTATGTGCCCATAGATGGGCATATGACTATATTTGGATGTCTGGTACTTCTGGATTAATATACTGTATAAACTGTCTATCAGGAAATCTTGAGAGTGGGATTGGAAAATCCCCAGTTGTCCTATTTACAGAGGTTACTCTGTCCGATTTTCGTTTTCGCCGAATAAGAATTAAACTAGAAAAAGAAAAAGTCAGCCCGTATTTTCGTAAGTTACGTCTTCCGCTATTTCTGTTTGTATCATATGCATGTTAATTGAACCGGCTCGAGACGGGGATATTACACAAATAATCCTACTGGCCAGCTAAACTACCAAGTATGAATTACGCATCATCATGCAACATACAAAACATAGGGAACCATCATCCTATGTCACACCCAATGCATACACATACGTATAACAAAACATTAAATTACTTTATTGCATTTACATACACTATCAACAACCATTACCCATTCAGGGCTTGGTGGAACAATAAAGGGATCAACAAGGCTTACCTCAATGAGCTTCAAAGCTTAACCTTTGTTCACCACCAATGAGAAATCAACCAAGCTTTACAACAATACCAACAATCAATACCTACATCAAGGTACTAGACAATCTATCAAGTCAATCCAATGAATACCAATATTGTCATCAACCAAACAAACATATTCACACCACAATGGCATGAACTTATCAATTCAAGTGAGCTAACCAAGCTCCATTGCTTCCTCTAATGATTGGTCACTCAAGGATGGTCCAATTGCCTCAATCCTAGCCATCACATGGACACAATTAATATCCAACCAAACCATGGCTTACAAATACAAGAAACTCACCACTTCAAGCATGTATTTTTCCAAATTTTTGAACATAACTTGAATGACAATCTAAATCCATTTCTACTGTTTATTTATCATTCCTAACAATTTTTACAAAGGAATTTAACTTTAATCTCTCTCTAACATACCCCATTATTCATGCATTTTCTTAAAACAAAACCCTAACATACCCAACATCATAAAATGCAAGGAAAAAGGGATTTCTAAACACCAACTCACCTAGAATCACACAAGGAAGAGATTGCAAGCCTCACTTCAAGAAATGAGCCACTCTAAGGTCCTTCAAGCCAAGTGGGTCGCCACTTTCAAGGTGGAGTTTCTCCCTCTACAATGGTTCCCAACAAAAACTAAGTGGTGGGTTTGAAGAGAATGGAATTTGGCACGAGTTTGCCTTTAGAATGGATTGATTTGGTTGAGAGATGGAGAAACTATGATTTTTGCTCTTCCAACAATGGTTTCCCTCATTCTCACGGTTCTCTCTCTAACCCCACGAAGAAGGAGAAGCAAATGGAGTTCTTTTCTTTGCTTATTCACTTAACATAGGATAGGTTATTCCAACTGGGTAAAAGTTTATCTATATATTCACCTCTATTTACTACCAAACTTTACCCAAATGACTAGAATATTTTTTCAAGAATATTTTTACTTTTACTTTTATATTTTGGGTACTATTGCCTACACACATTTATACCTTTTAATTCTCACTGACTGCACTTTTTACCTCAAAAGTGACCCTAATTAATTTTATTAGGCCTTTTACTTATTTCAACCCACCAATACATGCTAAATTACTTAATTACATGTACTTTACTATTTAATTAGGCTAGGGATATTATACAAAAGTTACAGGAACTTAAAAATAATTGAATAGAATATAATGAAATAATTTTAGTAAAAGTCTAAGATCAAGTTATATGAGTAAAATGGATGAGAGGATGCAATGGGTGTACCGCTTAAAGTTGCTTTTACTTTTGTTATCAAAAAAAAAAGTTGCTTTTACTTTAAGTATGTTAAAATCTAATTTAGAATAAAGACACCATTTTCTCTTCTTCCTCCTTCGTGCATGAGAACCCAATAGCCATCAGAGAAGAGCTTGGTTTCGTAACTCTTTCTGTAATCATCCAATCAACAAAGTTTCAACTAGAGAATTGCTTAGAATCACAACACAAACCTAACCCCTAATTCAAATATCCTTGAAAGTGAGCATGTGGAGAGAAAATTCATTGGGAAAGTGGCAGTTTTCTTGAGTTTGTGAGCAAAGGAGAGTGGTTTGATCTCACCCAAACTTTGGGATCTACTCCTTATGTCTTTGTAGAGCCATTTGAGGTAAGAAAATCTCATTTCCACAAAGTTTTGATAATGGGTAATTTTAGGTTAACATAATATATATTTTGATGGATGATGAGGTTGGAGGGTTAATTAGCCTTAGTTCATGTAGGAATATATGCTAAGGAACCTAAATAATTGGTGGAAATGTAATCAAATCATCATTTAGGCAATGTTGGAGATTTTCGAAAATCTCATGTGCATATAGCTTATTTCTTGTAATGCAAGTAATGGGCTATTGTGGTTGATTTGGTTTATTGTTCCTTTGAATCCTAAGAGTGGATTAGGTGAACATGTGGTTGTAGATCAAGCCTTGGAGGTGCTAAGGAATCTTGGTTGAAACTTCAGAGGAATCAAGTGTTGCTAAGTTTTCTATACTCGTGATATTCATATAATGGGATTAATATTCTAGTACATAATGTTTGTTGATCACACTTGTGCCTTTGATAGATAAATCTAGTATAATCTAATGGTGTTGATCTTTTGACTAGTTGTGAATACCATTGGTGCAAAGGGAATCTTTGGACGGAAAGCTACTGCAGGTAAGTTTTCGGACCTTGGGATTTATCTCGTGCTTGTTCCACCATGCCTTGGAGAGGTAGTGGTTTATGTGGTATATGTAATTGCATACATTTGTTATGATGCATTGGATATATGAATGTGTATGCTATGTTTTTGCATTTGGTATGTATCAAGGAGATTTCCTTGTATAATTCACAGAGTGTAGGTTCTCTGCCTGGTAGGATTTATTGTTATTGCGGCATGAGCATTCTGGAGGAACGTTTGGATGAGCATTATTTTCATAGCATGGATATGTATATTTGTATCATATGATTTATTGCTTTTATGCTAAAGTGAACTTGGGGGGTTGAGGAATCTCCAAGAACCCCTGGTTTACTGAGATATATATGTATATCTCATCCCGTGTTGTGGGGACCCCCTTTCAGGTACGGACGATGCAGGAGCATCCGTTGGCAGGAGGCCACAATGGACTACATCTGTATATCATGGACTTGCATATGGCATGTTATTTAGGATGACTGTAGCATCATATGTTTCTGTAGTCTTATTTTGAGAATATATGCTATTGATGCATGGAGAAAGGACTTAGCCTATGATCAGAGTAATTGGATATCTTTCATATTGTTGATGCATGTAAAAGACTTTGATCATATATTTTGAATTGCTAAATTCTCATTTATGTAGTCGTCTGAGGACATTTATGTATTTTGATACACTTATGATGAAAGGGCTTGTACGTCTATTGGATAGACTGAGATAATGTCAGTATTTATTGAACTGTTTATCAGGTTGAGATATCCCGTGGGATTATCCCTAGATGTTTGAAAAATAAACGTAGCTCTGTCTGTTTTGTTTGGGCTACGTTGGTAGGGGATTATCACCTTGTGTGATTATCTATCTTCATTGTCATGTGAAGCCATGTTGTTTATAGGAATTTCATTATGGTATGATATGTTTAAGCGATATTAGATGTTTCCGCAATTTGTACGAGTTATAATTACAGTTTGAAATGTTTATAAATATGAAAATTGTTTTAAGCAATAAAAGATAATTGTTCCAAAAAAAAAAAAATTATCCGTGTTCTAAAAGAGCAGGAAAATTTATTTACTAAATTCAACAATGCCATATTGTATTGATAGTAAAATGCTAAATATTGGGTTTAGAATTTTTCCAAGAAGTCAACTCAGATGGAATTACTTCTTCAGTACTAGAAAGCACAGCATGTGCCATCAAATTACCTAACCAACCATGGTATAACAATCCTCTTGAACCTAGCCCTCCAAATAACCAATATTTACAAGTATTATTACTGCCAATGACATCATTGATACAACCCAAAAGTGGAAGTGATCCAAGGGGAGTGAGTGGTGGCATTGCCCTCAGACCAGCTCTTGCTCCAGTGAAAACCCAATCCTTTATTCTAGGATAAATGGCAGATGCCTTTGGCAGAAGCTGTAGAAGAGCTTTTGAAGCTTCATCGTTTGAAACATTTGGTGATGAATTCATGGATTTCCACTCCCACGTTGAGCCCACATTTAGACTACGAGGGCCCTGAACAGCAATCCAGGCATCTGATAATATGGACGGCCCATGCTCGGGATAACCACTGGAAAACAAGGCCAGAAATTTCTCAAATAAATGGGATATGATGTGACATTGAAGCAATCTCAATAGCATATTGTAGGCCATAAAAGGCCCTTTCCCAGAAAATAATGCTCTTGAAACAGAATACAGCTCAATAGTCATTTCATGAGACATCAATGGTACAAGTGTAGTTTTTTCAGATTGATAGCATATGCAAGGCAGAACATTAAACTTTACCTTATATCATCAGCCAGTTCCAGATGAGCAATGACACCCCTACATGTCCTCAAAGGAAGCCTCCCAGAGATCTCGGGAAGCATGTTCACTTTGGCACCTAGGCATATGATGACTGCATCATACTCCCCTGAGACATGGAAGATATTTAATCATAGTCTTGAACAACAAAAAGTTCTGCCAAAAGTATGCTCATGACTTATAAGCTAAAGCTATCACAAAATAAGGCAAGCAAAAATATTTCAAAGCTGTTGGTATGAGTATCATTGAAACATGATTTTCACGTCAGACACTTCAAAAAAAGAGGAATCTTCTCACTAATGAGCCGAAAAAGAATTTCATAGAACCGGCTCAGCCCAACAATGCCTTTGCAAGTTAGGATGCCATAATCTCCTGTCTGAGGAATTATGGACACTGGCAACTAATTAAAAACAATGTGTTAGCAGCCGACCCTCAATTATGAAAGTCCATGCTAGAAGAGACAAAGAAATGCCCAATGAACCAAACGGACCCAGCCACAATCAGTTGAGGTAGTTAGAATTAGTTATTTATAGTAGTTAGGCCTTTAATGGAATGGTCAGATGTAGGTTATAAGGAGAGGGAGAGGATGACATGGGGGTTCAGTTTTGGAGACCTCTAGTTTTAGAGGGAGAGAACACACTACTAGTCGCCCTTAACCACACACTAGTGCTAGCCCTATGTTAGACATTGTTTCCGATGACTCATCGCCTTTACCTGTTGTTCCCTTTTACCATGGCTACTGCATTAGAAAGTCCAACTATCACTCTTTGAAAAGGTATACATCTACTTGTAATCATCATCCATTTTATGCTTTTCTTAGTCATGACCGTCTTTCTTCATCCATTCTACCTTTGTTTCTAGTTTTTCCTTCGTGCCCATTCCTAAAACCACATGTGAAGTACTACCTCATCTAGGTTGGAGCCAAGCAATGGATTGATGAGATGTCTGCCTTGCACTCTAATGGCACATGGTATCTTCTTCCTAAATCTGCAAGAAGACCTGTCTTGGTTTTTTGTTGGGTATATATTCTTAAAGTTGGTCCAGATGGCTATAATGATAGGTTGAATGCTTGTTTGGTCGTCAAAGGTTACACTCAAATCTTTGGTCTTGATTTCAATGAAACTTTTCTTGCTGCTAAAATAGACTTTGTTTGGATTTTCTTAGCCTTAACCACTATTTCTCATTGGCCTCTCTATCAACTGGACATCACGAATGCCTTTCTCCATGGTAATTTAAAGGAGGAAATTTATATGGAAAACTGCCCAGATTTGTCACTCAAGGGGAGGTTGAATTGGTGTGCAAGCTTCACAAATCACTTTGTGGCTTGAAACAAACACTTCAATCCTGATTTAACAGCTCGGTGTAGTTGTTCAAGAATTCAACATGAGTCATAGTTAAGCCGATTATTCTGATTTTTATCGGCATCAATCTCCTCATCAATTCATCTACCTTGTTTATGCGGATGACATCATCATTACTGGCAGTGATCCAGTTGGCATTGGACAATTGAAGCAACACTAATTCAAACATTTTCAGACTAACAATCTCGACATGCTCTGATATTTCTTGGGTATCGAGGTGGCATATTAATACATGATATCTCCATTTCTCAGAGAAAGTATGGTTTACACATCTTCGAAGAAATCAACATGATAGGGATGCAAACTCATTAATACGCCTAAGGATCCCAGTGTCAAACTTCTATCAAGATATGGAGAGTTGTTGACCAGCCTTGGTCATTATCGAAGGTTGATCAGAAAATTAAATTATCTTACGATAACAAGACCATATATCTCCTTTGTTGTGAATGTGGTAAGCCAATTTTTATTTTATTTTTGGAGGGGGGACAGGGTGAGGAAACATGATCTCATGGGAAAGTAACAAGCAAATTGAGATTGCAAAATCAAGTGTATACGTTGACTATCGAGCAATGGGAATCGCAACTTGTGAACTCATTTGGTTAAAATAGTTGCTCAAAGAATTGAACATTTGTTGAGCACAACCAATTAAGCTAATTTGTAACAATTAGGTTGCATTGCATATATCCACAAATCCTATTTTTCATAAAAAGACTAAGCACATACTTTGCTCAAGAGAAAATTTAGTCTACGCAGATCGAGAGCATTTGTAGACTTCCACGACCAATTTGCAAATATTTTCACTAAGGCTCTTAGGGGGTCTTCAAGTCAACCATAGACGTAATAAGCTTGGAAAATATGATATATACACACCATCTTAGGGGGAGTGTTAGAATATCGTAGGTATTTATAGTAGGATATCGTGTGCATACTATAGAATCAATTAGGATTATATATATATATATATATATATATCAAGGATTGAATCATTCTAATCAAAACCAGCACTAATATATATAGAGACTAAGTTAGTTATAGACACAAATCATCCTACCAAATTTTTATCTCTAAATTTCAAGTGATTCAAAAGTGTTAAAACTTATTCCACACAAAAATTGCCAATACTTTTTCTTGTGTTACATGTGTCTCCTTGAGATTCGGAAATTACAGATTCACCATTGTCCTCATATTAAGATAAAATTATCCTTTGTGTCAGAAAGCCTCTTTCATTATGTTTTGACCAATTTAACAATATAGTCTAAGTTGATGAGTCCATAATCACCAATTCTTTTAGTTACCCACAGAAAAAGGGCTATGCATTAGAGTTTGACTTAGGTGAAGAAAAGAAGATATTTTGGGAAGTCTTGAATTCAAGCTTTCCATTATTTATGATTGCTCATCCTTTATTGAGTTACATTTTCTAGCAAAAAAATGCTAAATTTAAACTGTTACATTCACATAATTTAAAGGATAAAGCAAAAGGTGTCAGATTAAAAACTTTAGTAAGTTTGCAGTCAAAGATCAACAAACTGCATAAAACTACAAAAGAACAAAAGAATAGCAATGCATCAATACCTTCAAACTCAAAAAGTCTATGGACAGATTTTTTGAGTAAATTGAGCTGTTTCTGTCCAGAATTAAGAGTGTAGGATTCTTTCACCAAATTTTTGCATGCTTGGAAAAGTGCCTAATAGAATTATCAAGATGAATGAAAGAAACCTAGGAAAAAGAAAAACATAGACATTAAATAATCAAAAAAAACTATGTATTACTCATCCAAACCTGAAGATAGTTTTGAGAATCAATATTTAGACCTTCAGGCATAAAGAAAGCTGTGTTGAATGGTAAACATACACCGGGTAAAAGACATTGAGCCTCTTCGTTATTAAGTGTTTCTACTCTACAGCTAGGAAGGTAAGTCTTGACATTCTAATCACATAAAGGCAGATTATCGGTAAGAAACCCCAGTCAAATAGCCAATATTTCTGGAATCTATTAAATCAGAGAGATTACATCATTCAACTTGGTCATATTCTTCATATCCATTGCTGGTCTTAAGATGCCCCTGAAATCAGCTGATCATCAGCAGTATAAAGCAACTAAGACTCCAATGGAGAATGTAAATGCAAAACCACAGTAATATGCAGTGTTCAAAAGAAGAATAAAAATTGAGAGAGTTGGAAGGGGGTGGGTGTGACAATTGACAGTTTTCAGTTTATATAAAATGAACAATCAAAAAAACCTTTTGTGAGCAACAAAAGCTTTCATATCTTCAGCAGATTCTCCAATTTGGCAGTCCTTGGAGACACTAGCTTCTTCAGCAATTCTCAAAAGCTTTATGCTTTCTTTCCAACACTGAGCACCCTCCCAAAGAAGCTTAACTACAATACCATTAACCCATCAGAAGACTCCATAGGAAAACGTAGCACAACATATGACATCAGTAGAAAATAATATTCCACTATATCCTCCACACTCCACAGTAGGACATATTTCAACAAGAAAATGAGAAACCTTTTGGAGAATAAGGGTGAAGAAGACCTCCAGAAATTCCAGAAGCACCACCCCCAATGCCCACTTCATCATATATATCAATTCTTAGATTCAACTCCTTAGGACTGTGCTGCAAGATTAATTTTCACCCCCCAAAAAAAAATTATCAAATCAGTTGCTGACAGACAATATGTGGGTAATGTACAAGTATGTCAGTGTCTATAAATACACTTTAAGTGAAAGAAAAAACAAATATTGCTAAAAAAATACAACAAAAGAGAGCATAAAAAAGCATACATTAACATTAGCTGAAGAACATGAATTAGAAAAAAAAAAGAACCTTCAACAAATGCCAAACCACTGAGAGGCCAGCGAATCCAGCACCAAGCACAGCGTACCTGGAGCAATAACAATTACGTGTTAATCTATTATACTATAGTGTGAGGAAAATGCGTGTGCTTATGACAGAGAGAAACTCAAGGAAGAAGACCTAACCTGAGAGGGTGTTGAGTTAGAGAACAATAAGACCGAACTGAAGAAGGAAAAGGAGGAACACCATTGACAACGTTAAGTATCGGAGATGTTGAACGATACGGCAAAATCATGGGATTAGAGTTCGGCCATAGATTGATGCTATTCATGTCCACCTCTTCCTTTCTCTCGCTGAACTGTTCTATCTCTGTGAAATGGAGGCAAATGCTTTTAATCTGCAAATATGTTTTATTTTTTCAATGTTTTTAAGTTTCTTTTTTTTTTCAGTTTTTCCGGCGGAGAAACAATGTAAAAAAGCAAGATTCACAAATTTAAAAAAATAAAATAAAATATACTAGGATTCAACGTCGGAGCTGGTAAAATAATTTTTTTTTTTTTTGACAGACAAAACTATTTCTGTACCACCAATGACATAAATAGTTTTCCATTTTCAAAAACCCAAAATATTTTTTTGTTTGAAGTTTAAAAACTAATTAATTTAGATCAATTTTTATTTTTATAAAATGTACGATTTGTGTTTTTTTTTTTACTTTTTTGTTTTTATTAGTTACTATTAAAAATATTACTTTATTTTCAATTTATTTCTTATTTTTAAATATTTGTACAGCATTTATGAATAAATCTTTAAAAACACAAAATAAAATAAAAATAGATATTTTATGATTATTAGTGAAAACTGAAAATGGTAACAAAAAATGTTTTTTTAACTTATAGGAATTATTATATCTTTTATTTTTTAACACAAAAGGAAAATAAAACGAAATTATAAATGTGGTTTAAAGGGTAGGATTAGTGAAAATCCTGAAATTATGGTCAAATTGCATAAGAAGAGTAAAATGGTAATTTACCAAATACGTAACCCGAGATAAGAAAAATTGAGTAGAACTAATCCCCAGTTTAGAGATGAGGCCATGCTAGCAATGCTAGGAATTATTATATCTCATATTGTAGGAGATAATTTTATTTCTTATATATAAATAAAGTGTGTGAGTAGGTAGAAGTGTAAATGGGCTAGGTCGGCTTACAGGGGCCTACGGCCTAGTCTATATTAAGCCAGACTTGGCCTATTACAAATAGTAAAATAAAATAGGTTTAGGCTTTTAAAAAAAATTTATTTAGAAAATAAGTCATAAGTTTTTTGTACATGTCGGGCCTATAAGTGTACAGGCCGGCCTATGTCATATTATCTATTTTAAATAAAATAATAAATTTATTCTTTTAATAATTTAGAATAATAAAGTAATATTGTTTTAGTTATTCTTTTAATTATTGAATGTTTAATAGGTTTAAATAGGCTAACAGGCCTAGGCCAAAGCTTTAAATTTTAAATATAAGTCATACCAGACTTGTAATTTAGGGCGTACACAGGCTAACAGGCTAGGCCAAACCCAATATTTTTTACACAGGCCTGGGCTTTTTAAGTTAAAGTCTAACCTAGCCTAGCCTATTTACACCTCTATGATTAGGGATGAAAGTGGTTCAGACCGGCCTACAGGGGCTTACGGCCTGGCCTATATTAGGTCAGGCTCAGCCTATTACATAAAGTCAAATAAAACAGGCTCGAGCTTTTAAAAAGGTCTATTTAGAAAGCAGATCATAGGCTTTTTTTATATGTCAGACCTATAAGCCTACATGCCGGCCTATATCATATTATTTATTTTAAATAAAATAAAATAATATTATTAATAGTAGTACCAGATGGTGATATCTCAGTTGATGCATGTGAGTTGAGTATGTGGTGGAAGGACCTAGGTTCAATCCCCACCAATACCACCTTTGGAAGGGGCATAAGATCTGTACCGATCTTTACAGTAGCTTATGAATATATTAAAATTATTTTATAATTTAATTATATTTGATTAAACTTTAATAAAAATCTGACTATATTTCTTATGTAGGAGAAACCAACATCTTAGCATGTGAGATTGCCGCTATGAATATATTAAAAGGTTTTTTGTTTCTTAATTTTTGTTTCTTTTTATTCTTTAATCTTGTTTTTTGTTTTCTACATTTGCAATTTTTTTGCCAACTTATACAAGCATCATGATGTATTTGTTGGATTCATGTACTTATTTTATCTGACATAATATGGATTGGTTTGTTGGATTTGATGAAATATATGTTATTTATTTTGAGTATTTTGCTTATGAAAGTGACTTAAATGCAGATTATGATGAGTTGTTATTGTGATTCATGGTTCTGTTTGGATGTTGAAATTGTGATTTTTGTTTAAACAATAGATTTCGAATATTTTGTGAAGTTGATTCATGGTTTTGCTTGTAAGTTAAAAATTAATAGGCCAACGAGCCAGGCTAAGCCATTTGTTTTTTTATTAATGGGCCAAGTCAGGCTAACAGTTAGACTTGTATTATACTATTAGGCGATGCCAAATTGAACATTTTTGGCATAGACTTGGGCTTTTCGGAACAAAGCACGTAGGGGTGTAATTAGGCCAGGCTTTGGCCTTCATGGCCTAAGCCTTCTTAGTAGAGATCTTTTTCTTCGATCTAGGTCCTCTTTTTCTTGAATCTCTTCTTGCACTATTCACTATCAATTTGACTCTTCTTCCTCTTGATCTCACATTTCTGCTCTTAATCTCTTTCTTCTACTATTGCTGAAATTTTTCTTTCTCACTCTCTCTTTCACTTTTTCTCTGCTAGGTTTTTCATGTTCTCAGAAAAATTGAAAAGCAAAATGGTGTATCTTGATAAGAATAGTTGAGCAAACTGATTTAGGGAACAAAAGATTATATGGGCTTCTTTTTTTTATTTTGGGCCTACTAACATATTTTTAATAGATAACAACATATTTTTATATTATTATTATTTTCTTAAAGAAAACTAATTACACTGTTTTAGAAAGTGCATCTTAATATAAAAACAATGAACAAGTTAAACAGAATTCAATTTCACACACACAAAAATTATATGCACATGATGCAATCCTAGAAGCAAGCTCATGATATAAAATTAATTGATTAAGCTTGATTATAGGCTATTAAAAAAATATCTTCACTTTCTTTAAATTGTCTTGATCAAGTGCAGTCCTTGCTTCTCCAAATATTTTCTTGATACCTATACATCAAATAAAAACAACTACACAACAAGACCTATTTCAACACATTGTTCATCATCAAAATATAATATCTTCATTCTCCCTTTTTTTTATGATGTCAACTATCTTGAAATAGAGGTTAGTACACAAAAAAATTTATAATGTGATCTGCTCCCCCTAAATCTATGCATTTTTCTTCTCCCCTTTTGTCATACATCAAAAACAACTTTAAACATAGCAAAATTTTAATATCATACAACTAACAAACGACTACATAATGGCAGATCATGACAAGTTATCACATGCACATGTGAATGTCATGCAGTGGAATCATACAAGCCTAGTTCCGTTCTAAGTTTGACAAAATTATCTCTAGGCAAAGGTCTAGAGAAGATGTCAGGTAATTGCTTAGTAGTTTCAATGAATTCAATGCTAACATTACCATTATTAACATGATCACGAATAAAATGATGCCAAATGTCTATGTATTTAATCCTTGAGTGCATTATAGGATTTTTTATTAGATTTATAGCACTTGTGTTACCACACAAGATTGGGACTTTCTCTAAATTTAACCCATAATCTAGCAATTGTTGCTTCATCCAAAGGATTTGTGCAACACATGAGGTAGCAGCCACATACTTTGCCTCAGTAGTTAAGAGTGAAACACTCACATGCTTCTTGCTAAACCAAACTTAGTGATGATCCTTTGGGATACCACAATCCCATATTACAAGTACCTACCAAATACCTTAGAATCCTTTTGACAGCAGTCAAGTGAGATTCCTTGGGATTTGATTGATACTGAGCACACAAACAAACACTAAACATTATATCAAGCCTAGAAGCTGTGAGATATAATAAAGACCCTATCATACCACGATATAATGTTACCTCAACAGCTTTACCATTCTCATCTTTGTGCAAGGACATACTTGAGCTCATTGGAGTGTCTATGGGCTTTGCCTTTTCCATCCTAAACCTTTGAAGGAGTGATTTGCAATACTTCACTTGGCTAATAAAAATTCCATTTTCTTATTATACAGCCCAAGGAAGAAATTCAGTTCTCCCATCATTGACATCTCGAACTCATTTTGTATAATGCTAGAAAATTCTTCACAAAGACTTATGTTAGTCGATCCAAAAATAATATCATCCACATATATTTGGACTAACAAAGTATGATCATGCTTGGTTTTTATGAATAATGTAGTGTCAACTTTACCCATTTTAAAATCATTTGACAAAAGAAATTTATTAAGTCTATCATACCATGCTCTAAGGGCTTGTTTTAATCCATATAGAGCCTTTTTAAGCTTATAAACATGGTTAGGATAGCTATGGTTTTCAAAACTAGGGAGCTGGCCTACATAAACCTCTTCTTGTATGAAACCATTTAGAAAAGCACTTTTCACATCCATTTGAAATAATTTGAAATTATGTATGCATGCGTATGCTAGCAAAAGCCTAATTGCTTCAAGGCGTGCAACAGGAGCGAAGGTCTCATCGTAATCAATGCCTTCCTCTTGATTGTACCCTTTGGCAACCAGCCTTGCCTTATTTATGACTATAATGCCATTCTCTTCAAGTTTATTGCGAAAAACCCATTGGTGCCAATAATTTTATGATTATAGGGTTTGGGAACTAATTCCCACACATTGTTCCTTTCAAATTGCCTTCGCTTTTCATGCATAGCCATTACCTAATGCTCATCAATTATTGTCTCCTCAATGTTCTCAGGCTCAACTTGAGGCACAAAAATTGAATGAATACACAAATTTTTAAAGTAACTTCTTGTAGTTATTCCCTGTGTAATATCACCTATCACATTCTCAATGGGGTGATCTCTTCTGACTTGTGGTTTTGTGCTTTGTATGGTTGAGGGTAGATTATTCCTTGTTGTTCATTGCATCCGGGTTTCTTTTTCTCTTTACTTTCTACATTTTCATCATCAAACACATCCTTTCTCGGCAAAGGGTTAGTAGCATTTATTGACTCATCAAAGACAACATGAATGGACTCTTCTATAGTTCTAGTTCTCTTATTATAAATACTAAATGCTTTTCTAGACAAGGAATAACCTAGAAAGATACCTTCATCAAATTTACCTAAGTTATCTTTCCCAT